TGAAGAAGAGGGACTGTTGCACCAAAACGATCGTCAGATCCTAGTCATAACCCAGAACTTCCAATGACTCATTTTACCTCACCACCTGGTAGTCATAATCCAGTCACTACCACACGGGCAGAATGAGTCAAAATGAGTCATTGGAAGTTCTGGGTTATAAGAGCTAAATCTGCCGTTTAGTGTCAAGTACCGCACATCCTGCAATCAGTGGAAATAATACAAGAAAGCTATTTACTGTAATATCAATATCACTATCACTATTGACAAATCGTTTCGCCATGTTTCACCCAATAGATGCAACTGAACGACCACCCCAAAGAGAAACGACGTCCGACACCGTCCGCAGGCGCCGAAGCGGCTCCGCTTGCGACTGGGCGGGCGGTCCTCCGCGGCCTCGTAGGGTGGCCTCAAGGCGGTGTCCGAAGGGAACACCGGAGCTGTTTCGTGGTTGATATTCAGGGCTCCATATATGTTGACATTGGTTAAGTCATGTTAATTAAGTCATGTTGATTCAATTGAAGGATTTGTGAAGATTGTGTGAAGGACATTTTGGAGTGTTTCTCTTGGGTTTGTGAGGCCTCTTTAGAGCTTAAAATTGCCCTCAGTTGGCCTTACCCGTCATGTAAACCACGTGTTTATACCATTTCGGCTTGGTCCTCGTCCTCATGCCGTACCCGCCTCCGTTTGGTCAGGGAATCGCCGAGGCCAGGGACTGAAAATCCTTTTCGGTCGAAAGATGTTCTTCCAGATGAGGGCAGAACGCCAGTGCTTGTGGCGTGGAGTCAAAGGCTGGCGAGGCTTATGTCTTATGTTCAATTACATTCACTTGGTACAGAACCTTCAGAGGGTCAGTTATGTAGAATTCTACTTGGCGTCTCCTGTCGACCTCTTCCCTCATGAGTGGAAGACACTGGAGAGTGAGAGTCCATGATATTTTTGGCGGCATCACTCCGGCCACGATGGCAAGAGTCAAAACCCCTATTCCCATGTGGATCTAGTCTCAACAGGTCTCAACCTCTAGTGTGCAGAAACACAGGGACAAAATGGCCATCCGAATCCAAGCAAGATCAATTTCCGAACGAGGGATGTTCCCCTGAAACTTGAAACCAACCTTCCGTTCTCTAGTCATTCTGATGCTTAGCAAGTCCGGAGCCCTCATTTGGATGGAAGCGCTGAGGCCACACATGAGCTAGAGCCTTTCCAAATTAACTCTATGAAAAACATACTTTTCGAGAGTAGCCGGTGTTTTGACAATGTTTTGACAAGCATGCTGCAACAGTTGGTTCTCACCGTAATCATAGACGTCATTGGCTGTGGCTCGTGCTGTACACAGACCTTTTCCTCGGCACGGGTCCGCTAGAAGTCGGGTCTATTTGCGGGAGCATTGCTGCTCTGCTGGCCAATGACACATTTAATATGTTGAGTTTGAAGAAAAACGTTTGTGCGAGTGCCGCGCTTATGCAGGCCAGGAGGATTGGCAGGGTTGGCTTGATGGAATGGTTATGAGGAAGTGCTTTGCAATTAGCTGCTGGAAGAGGTGAAATAGCCAATTACATGAGAATATTGAAGAATATATCATTTGCAGCCATTGGATATTTGGGGTGACTTCAGTTGCATGATTCTTCCAACAGTTTTTTGTTTATTTTTTTCTGGGATTTCCAGTGGCCCACTGGGAGTTCGGATTCACTGACTCAGGAAATCGACCTGGTGCTTTACACAAGCAGAGGCTTTCCTGCACGAAAACCAGTCCTGCCATGTCCTTGCCTCCCTCGTCCAGGCGTTCGTGAAGCTGCGGCGAGGGCAATGGCACTCTGCCAGACTGAGACACAGGAGGAACAGGAGCGCACTTCACAGGCAGAGGGCACCTTGACACAGGCAGAGGATGAGGGTTTCAAGGTCCTGTAACATGATGTACCTGCAGACTAGATTGCTATGATATAATTATACGAATATAAATATATACGTTTCATGCAATGTTCTAGAGTCTTTCTGAGTCTGAGATGCGGTTGATCCTTGGTTGGTTCTCTCCTTCAGTCTACAAGGTTTTGAGGTCAGTGGATTTGGAACGGTTTGAGCTATGAATCTGAGTCTTTTAGCTATAATTTCGACACACCATCAACATGAAGAGGGTGGCAAAAGCCGAGTGATATAAGATAGTGTTGTCACAATAATCTATAGTATATAATAGATGGTATGCTTCACCACTAGCAAATCTGTTGTGTTTGTCATTTTAACCGTGATGTGAGGCTGACTTCTGACAGCCATCCAATTCTTACCACTAGCAAATCGATTTTTCCTTTTGATGTTGTTCTTCCAGCTGAGTTGTACAACGCAACATTTCAAGTTTGGTCTCCACTCGCACCGACCGGGCAGGATCCGCAGGTGATCTTGGCGGCGTCCACCATGGCCATGAAGTGCCCCGTGAGGGGACGTGGTGTGACTGGGGAGTCTCGTAGTGCTGTGCTTTGAAGGAAGGCATTGAAGGCATTGACGTGCTTTTGGTGTTTTTCTTCGCACGTTTTTGTGTTTTCTTTGTTTTTCGTTTGGAACAGCCGTGGCGGCTGGAAACAAAAAAAAAGAAATTACCAGTGGTTCTGGTGTGATTGGAGATGGGACAGGGTGTCTCTCAGCCGGTGGTTGTATTTAGAATTATCAGTCACCGATGTGTGTTTTTCTTCGCTATATACATCTTCTTTAGCATCCTTTTCATCCACTGAATCCATGGGTTTGGGGTAGATACAAGCAATAGAACCAGTCAAGCACTATTGACAGTCAAGCACTAGAACGACGCTATTGGTGTGGGTAAAAGAGCGTGAAGTGTCCAGCCGAAACCGCTCCATGGAAGCTCCTGACCTACGTTCCGTTTTGCTTTGGTTCTTCGGTTTGACAGGCAAGAACTCTGGCCCAGCAGTATAGGGTACTTTGCAGTTTGACTAGACCTCTAACTAAACTCAAAGAGAGGTGCCCATTCTGTAGGCTTTCATGACAGAACATGTAATCCGAGAATTGGACTGGACTTTCATGACACCTCCCGAAAGAAACAACATGTCGACACCTCACAAAAAATGGCGCCACAAATTCACCTGAGGGCCTAAAAAAAGCGATGTCAGCTGGCATTGCCATCCAGGAACGCCACAATCATGAAGACCTTGAAAGGTCTTCCTCGAGCCATGGCACGCGCGGGGCCGCGCCTGCGCGTGGCTGCGCGTGGATTTAGTGCAGGTCCGATGCTGAGTCTCGCAGTTGGTTGGATTTGAAGGTTCACCATCATAAGAGACGAAACCTCGAAATCTTCACGCTCCCATCCCTGTAGAAATCCTCATGCTGCCCAAAGACCCTTTAACTCACTCTTTCTTGTTTACCAAACAGCCTGACTCTTTCTCCCACCCCCTGAGCAAATTGAGAAGTGTACCAAAAGTGTTATGTATTTAGTGCGCACTTTGCACTTTCATTTGACCTTGTGACAAGCTTTGACAAGCAGGTGGCGACTCTGGTGGCAGCTCGAGTGGCAAGATCTTCGGCGGCTTCGCGCTGGGAGCACTAACGGCCTCTGCTGGCACCTATGCCCTGGTGACGCAGAAGGCTCAAGCAAGGGAGGGTCAGGGGTGTGTCTGCTGAAATTGGGGAAGTTCAATATGGATTTCCAATAGTTGCAAGCATTGCAAGCCGTTCAACATCATTCAGCACTCCATGGTGGTGTGGATCTATACCAGACTATAGTAGACGTTTACAGATCTCCCCAACAATCTGGAGAGAATTTGATTCTGTCTGATTCGTTTGAAGAAAACAATACATAAAGCAACAAGCTTAAACCCTCCTCCACAACTTACAATAAGCTAGTAAGCTAGTATAGTAGGATGTATATAGGTATACCCTTCCCATTTTCCACTGATCCACCATCATCCACCCATTTTTCCCCTCTTTTCGCTTTTCGCGCTCTTCGACCCCAAGAGGCTTCGATACCTCCACCCTCCGGTGCGCTCAACGCCGCCCGGCTCGCGGTCGCCAGGTGCTGCCCGGTGTCCTCCCCGGCTCGCGCGACCCGGCGGTCCAGGTGGCGGATGGTGGACCGGTCACCACGACTCGGTGGGGATGGTCGGAGAGTTGAGAGAAGTTCCACTCAAAAGGGAGGGTGGACCATTTGGAGATCCGAGATTTCGACTCTTTCGGGGGCTCAAAGCTCACGTTCGACCGGGGTGGATTAGATGTTTCGAGATTGACCTAATGCTTGTCCATTGTGGGATTCTGCTGCCCAGAATGGGGTTCGAAACGGGTGTTTGTTGAAGTCTCATTGTCATTGATCTAGTGGTCTCCCCCAATTCACCCCAGGTTGGATATAGTACTCAACAGAATAATTCTTACCAGTTTCATCGGAAAACCTGCGGGAAGCTAGGAATTATTGTGCTTTGAGGTCAACATCTATGAGGGAAAGCTTCTACAAACGCTTGGGCAAGCTTGTTAGAGTACGGGAGCCATAGCAGCAGGTGCAAACCTCCAACATCGTGAATGCCTAAAGTATTTTGCTAGTGGATTATTGAACTGGTCGGGGGTATGATCTACGGGGGAACACGGGAACAGGTGTATTTATTTGAAGCAATACGGAACCAAAGTCGTCCACAACTGCCTGGACCCTCACACAAGTAGCAGTTTCTTGTGGCTCATGCTGCCTGTTCTGACATGCCGTGGGTAGTCTATATATAGGTGTACATGGTATACATTGGGTAAGTAAGGTAAAAATATGAATCAAGGCTTTAGGCTTGTTGGATTGGGAACCAGGTCAGTCAAAATAGGATAGGGCAACCATGTCATGAAAAAAAAACACCATGCCATAAAGATCACAAAGGCATGAACCATTGGATTTGGGAACTGGATGCGCCTACCAATTAGGAACCTTGTTCTACCCCTTGGTCCCACGGTCCCACTGTGTGGTGAAAGTGAAAACCGCCAGGAGCTTCCGGAGGTGAAGCTTGGAGCTAAGGCCAAGGTTGGCAGTTTTGGATGGGGAGTGGAACCTGAGACTGCCCACCTTGGCCTATGTGTGTTTTTTCGTCAAATGTGTGATGGTTCTACTATGTTCTACTGGTATCAGAGAGTGGGGGGAGCCTACTCAACAACCAAATTGCTGATTTGAGCTATGTATTTGTCCCTTTGGTCAAGAACATATCTTTAGGCTCTCATTACAAGCTTGGCATTCTCATCGAACGGATCCGTTCGGCTTTGGCTCCGACCCCGCCGGCCAGGTGGAGCCCACCACGCCAGCTCCGGTGCCCGAGGCGAAGGCTGCGCCGGCGGTGCAAGCTTCAGCACTTGCCAAGGAGGCGGGGAGCGAGGAAGGTGAGTCGTTGGGAGTGTTTTGATACAACACCTTGGGAGTTTTGATGTTTGTTTTGGTGTTTGGTG